AGTACCAGGCGGCGTCGGACTCGGAGCCCAGCGACTACGAGGAGGCGGCGGAGAAGGAGGAGGAGGAGGAGGCGCGCAAGGTGAAGAGCGGCATCCGGCAGCTGCGGCTCTTCGGCCCCGAGGAGTGCGCCAAGATCGAGGCGCGCATCGAGGACGTGGTGTCGCGGGCCGAGAAGGGGCTGTACAAGGAGCACACGGTGGACCGGGCCCCCCTGCGCAACAAGTACTTCTTCGGCGAGGGCTACACCTACGGGGCGCAGCTGCAGCGCCGCGGCCCCGGGCAGGAGCGGCTGTACCCGCGGGGCGAGGTGGACGCCATCCCCGAGTGGGTGCACGACCTGGTGATCCGCCGGCTGGTGGAGCACCGGGTCATCCCCGAGGGCTTTGTGAACAGCGCCGTGATCAACGACTACCAGCCCGGCGGCTGCATCGTCTCGCACGTGGACCCCATCCACATCTTCGAGAGGCCCATCGTCTCCGTGTCTTTCTTCAGCGACTCCGCGCTCTGCTTTGGGTGTAAGTTCCAGTTCAAGCCCATCCGGGTCTCTGAACCCGTCTTGTTCCTGCCTGTGAGGAGAGGGAGTGTCACTGTGCTCAGGTAACTAATGCAGTGCAAGGCCTCGGAGTTTCAGGGAATGAACTGAGACACCCCTTAGCTTTGATCCTTGAGTCACGCGGCGGCTCGCCACTAATAATACGAGGGTGAATTGTTTTTCCGTAGCGGCGCGGGCGCGGGCAGCTTTCCGCCCCCTCGGAGGACGGAGTGAGGGCCTCTGAGAAGTGCGGGCACCTCTGGGGGGCTGGTTGGACCCGTGTTTCAGGCAGCGCATCAGGGCTGGCTTACCTGCAAGGGACTTAGTATCTACCTGGACGTGGAGCGCCGGTGGGGTCGAGCTCCGCTTTAGCTTTAATCCGCCCTTGTCAATGGCAGAAATCCAGGCAGAGACGCACAAAATGGAGCCTCAGCCTGGTAGCGCTCGTTCCAGGGCCGCCGGTCTGGAGCGAGGACTCCTGGGTTCTATTCATAGCTCAGTCGCCGACTTCCTTTCTGGCCTTAAACATAGGGAGGGGGCGTGACTGGCCTCATCTTCCCCATCTGTAGATTGGGACTGTTAAGGCTCCTTTCTCTGGCAATGAGGCCCCGCAGTGTGGAGCGAGCCCTGCACGACCGTGCTGTACGGTAGACGTTCCAGGCGTGTCTCGGTCTCCGTTTTGCAAATGGAGAAACAGCCACAGGCAGTAAATGACCTGGCCAAGGTCACGCGGCAGGTCCCTGGTAAAGCGGGGATTGGCCTGTAGGAATCCCTGGTCCTAATCCCTTTCTCCATCCCCTGGGTCACACGGCCTCTCTCTGCAACTCGGAGCAGTACAGGTGGCAGGCGGTCGCGCTGCCTGTGATCATTAGTGCGTGTGGCCTCGTGGAGCAGGTGGCTTTTTAGGCGATGCGAGAGGGAAGGAATCAAGCGCTAGGGCTGCCTGACTTCGTGATGGAGGGTTTATTCACCCCAAAGCTCAGAGGAGCCCTGCAGAGCTCCGTTTGCCTGGAGCGCCCATATAATCGTATCCTAAACTACTTCAGAGCAGCCATAAATTAGGAGCTGTGCAGTTTCTTCCCTCCCAGTTTGATAAACGTTCTTGCTCGCTTGCACGGCTCTCTAAAGGTAACACAATCTCCTGCTTTGGCTTGTAAAATGATCACCGCAGGGTTCAGGAAGGAATTTTTTTTTTCCCCCATGTACATGCAGCATTGCACAATTGACCAGGTGCATTAATAATAAATGCTTAGCACTCGCATAGCTTTTATCTCCCAAGCACAGCACAAACATTAACTAATCCTCACGGTTCCCTGGGTGTTCGGCAGGACAGGAGGGAATTGCAAACTAACATGTAAGTGGGCACAGCTCTCCTGAAGCTAATGGTGTTCTGCCTGTTTATTTGAAGCCATGAATCTGGTTTGAGGTCAGGTGCTGGGGACGGCCAAAGGCTGGAGTAGCCAGGCTGGCTGGCCCGCCAGCCTGATGTGCTGTTGCAAATTTTACGTTGCTGTAATGCATTCTAGCTGGACTCGGAGATGAACCGAGGGGTGGTTTCCATCCCCATTTAATTAAAAGGAAAGTTTTCCTGACCTTAAAATGGAGGCGGGTCAGGGTCTTTAAGTGACATACCAAAACCGGCTGGTGAGGGGCCTCTAGGCTGCTCATGGGGACAGGAGGACGAGGTGGCTCTGCTCTGGGCTGCTGGAGGGGAACGGTCCAGGGAGTTCAGGCTCGGAGCCTGTGAGCGCCCCGGCAGCCTGGCATGCTTAGGGCCAGCTGCGTGTCTCAGCAGCCTGAGATTAAATCCCCAAATGTTGGTGGCTCTGAACAGTGCTGCGGGTTTCCAGCTACTGATGGTTGTGGCAGCTTGATTGCCTAACCCGAGATGAGAGGTCCCGGTTTGGAGTGGAAAGACCTTTTCTAAAATGGGGGATTATTTCAGTTTCGGTGCAGCTGTTGCCAAGCACTTAGCACTCACTTAAGGGGCGTTCGGCTGCGTGTGCAGCACCGAGAACCAGCTGGGGTAAAAAGTTGTCATGATTTCTTAGCCTTGCCAGGCTCGAGAGGGACTGGACATGACTTGCAAGTCTTCTCCGTCCTGCTGGATGTGACGCCTCCCCGGAGATCCAGCCCTCTCTGGTCGTGCTGAGGAGTCACTTCTCCGAAGTGGGAGGGGAAAAGCCAAGTAAACAGCTCCCCGCAGGCAGTTGCCCTGGAGATAGGGAAGCTGCCCAGATAGAAGTGGCATGCGTGTAATGTGTGTGACTCAAACCTGACTGGGGCAGCGGCTGTTCTTGGCAGGGCAGGGCTGGGTTCTGGGGAAGGCAGCGTGGCAACATCTGTTTTGTTGCCGGGAGGGGACGTCTGAGGAGTGCGAAGGGAAAAAAAGCTGCGTTTTCCCAGCTATTTCCCTCTGCCTCTTGCTTTCCCACCTCTCTCTGTTTCTTCCTCCATTCCCAGGACTGTCGTCAGCGGATTCAAAACCACCTCCTTTGCTTTCAGATCTTCTCTGCCTTTCTTTATCTAGCTCCCCTGGCCTAAGCAGTCTAGCACACCGCAATGGGGTTGTTTTGGGAGGGGTAGTGAGGGGCTGGCTGCTCCCTTCCCCGACATACAGTGGGATGTGCCCTTCAAAACTCAGCTTTAAACCCTTCTCTCTTTTTTTTTTTTTTCTCCGGTTCATGCATGTCAGAGAAACACCCCGTGGCATCATATGAGGGGCGCTGCACTCTTAATCTGCAGAGCCATGCTGGACTCTTATGCCACCGTTGGCAGGATTTGATGTTTGTAAATACAGACTGTATCGTGCAAACAGACTTCCAGATCTTAAACACAAACATGAGCTCCTGAGCCCAGACTACCTCTGGCTGTGGAATAGATTGCTTCTGGCCACGCTTCCAGTCCTTTGCTCTCGTTGGATACATGCATCAGATAAAGTCTGGGCTAAGCAACGTGCCTGCCAGCAGCCTCCTTTCTTTAGACGAGGTACATGCTTCTCCGTCTAGGGTTCCTTTAATTCATTCCTCTAATCAAGAGGAATCCTCTCTGTCATCTCTAGATTGTCAAAACCTTGGCTAAAGTGATGCCTTATCCTGCCTCTTACATAGAGGGAGGAATTAAGGGGTCAAGTAAGTTCTTCCCGCAGTCATCTTCCAGATTTGGAAGGGCCGGGGCTAGGATCTGAATCCCAGCTCCCAAAAGGAAGAGCCTAAAATCAAAGCCTTAATTTCGCTGTTTCTTGTCCTATAAGGGAGGCTGGATGTCAGCACCTTGTCATTCATTTTTGCGGCCTCTCCTAGGTCTGGGCTGTAACTTTCTGTAGGTGTTGGCTACTGATTCAGTCACTTGAGCATTTCCTTTTTTGAAGGAATAAGGTGAGCTGCAGAAACAGAAATAGTAAGCAGATGGCAGGGTGAATAAAACTTGCCTCTTCACTCTGAGGAAAGTGTCTGGAAGAGGGCGAATATTAAATTGGAAAAGACACTGGGAGTCTACTGGAGCAGCTGTGCAGGGTTAGAGTTTTTCTAGTACAAGCTGTATTCAGCAGGCTGGTGTCCAGATCATATAAATGTCCCCAGTGATCTCACAGTGTACAGGATTCAGTGGAAACTTTATTTTGTGCTGCTAGCAACCCTATGTCCCTCGGAGCTGGGCCTCAGAGCTGTTCTCTCAGGTTGCTCTTAATTCTCCCTTATCTTTGATAATGACTGTTTCATGGGGGAATGTCATGACATGCCCACATCAAAGCCTAGCAGTGCTGTCTCCCGGCTTTTGGGGGGGCTAGGAAAAACGCTGCCTTGTTTCTGTTAATATTTAGGTACTGGATGTCCCAACATCTTGAAATCTACTCCCTCCTTATCTGGCTACTACAAGAGGGGAGGGAGCTTTTTTCTTACTCTTGATTCCCAGAGGTCCTTCCCGAGGCAGAGGAAGATGCCTTCTGGCTGCCCACCATTCAGAAGGGCAGGGAGATGACTGAGAGGCTGGTTTCGACCTTCTGCCGCTAGAAGAGACTGAGTAGTGGAGGCCTTTGAGCTGCCTGCAGGCAGGACAGGCTGGACGTGCTTCCTTCGCAGGTGTAGGGAGAACGTCTTAGCTGCCGGGGTTGGCATCTCATGTGAAAACACTTAAATCTTTGGCAGTTGACAGAGGCCCGTTGGCTCCTGTTGGAGGAAGCTCCACCTTTGCCAGTGGGAAATAGGCAAGTATAGAGTGTTGCCTATACTTAGTATAGAGTGCCCCCCCGCCCCGAGGCTCTGTTTGAACTTAAATCTTCTCAGCAATGCCAGCAATAAGTCTTCTTTTAAACCTCTAGTGAGACATCAAGCCCTTCTTGGTTAAAACCTGCAGCTGTTTCTGTGTCAGCGTGCAGACCCCACCTGCAGTGACTGGCTTGCACTGCTGGTGTACTAGGCTTCGGTGGGGATCTTAGCCAGACTACCGCAGAGCCACACACAGCTCACATCGCCAGGCTGTACCTCAAGTCCCTGGACTACAAAACGGGCAGGAAACTTGTGCAGCTGGAGCGTTCCCCCTTTGGACACCTCCAGTCTTGTTCCAGGCAACGAACGAACCCTTTCTTTTACCCCAGTGAGAGACCATAATCCATTCGTCAAGTGGAGTTAACTGAGACCTGGAGACAGACGGTCTTGCCCCAAGTCTAAAAGGAAGGCTAGAGGAAGTAAGGAATGGCCTTTGCCTGTCCTCGCAGATGCTTTGAGCGTGAGCGAATACCCGCTTTGGTCTGTTCGGGCTCTGTTTGCCGGGTGTCAGTGGTGGTGTTAGACCAGGAGAAAAGGTGTCTTGAAAATTTTGCGGGGGGGTGGGCTGTAGAGGACCAGCCCCAATGAAAGGCCCATCAGCAGTGCCCTTTTCAGACTGTTTTGCTGGCTGCTTGCAGCCTGGATTCAGTCTCTGTGGAGCACGGGCTGAGCACCAGCGGGCAGCGACTGCCGTCGTGCTCCTGGCAGGCCCCTCTGAGCAGAGCGGAGTCTCCAGGCTCGCGGCCTCCGCACCAAGCCCTGCTGCACATCCGCAGCCGTGACTGCTATTAGTTTCAAATTGGCATGAGGCTGTGAAGCAGGTGTCCATCCAGTAAGCCATCGGGGCAGCCGCCCTGCCTGACCTCTAGTGCTGGAGAGTTCAGGTTCAGAAATAGGTTTGCTCCTTCTCCTAAAGGCCTCCTAAACTGAACGCTAACATGGGGGATCTTAATTGGCTTGCCGGAGCTTGAAGCAAAAATTCCAAAGCGTAGCAACGCCTTAATTATTAAGCTGCTCGATAACACTCAGTCTCTGATACACCTGCAGCCAGATCAGTGCTACTATATTGAGCGGTCTATTAAAGCAGTAACGCTGCGGTCTGGAATGAGAGATCCTTCCAGAGAAAGGAAGACCATATTCCCTCTGCCGCGGGCGGGCCAGCCTCCTCCATGCACACAGAAAGCCCAGCCTCGGGCTCTCTTGCCTCTGGGCAGAGCTGCTTGGAGAACCTGCTCCCCACCAGGCCAGGTTGTGGTTCTGGAAAGTGGACCAATGCCCGGTTCCTCTCCAGCGAAGGCAGATGAGTGTTTGCAGGCAGCCGCTGCTCCCAGCCGGTCTCAGCATTTGGGGAATGAGGAAAGAATGAGAGCAGCAAAAAAGAAAATTAAAAATAGAAGCGTTTTACAGAACTGGCAGATGCAGTGCAGGATACTAAGGTGTAGCTCCTCCATGTTACCCGGCCTGGAGTTTGCTGGAGCCTGATGCTGGCCCTGTGTTTAGACTGGAAGTCAAAGGGCTGCCTGTGGATGGGTGAGGGGTGGCCTGTCGTAACAACCAGGGAACTGGAAAATGAGTAGTTCTGCTTTGGGGGACATGGTGCCCTCTTTCTTTCCTCTGGGCCAAATCCTGTGTGCATATCACCCCACACTGACCTCAGCAGGGTCCCCTGAGAAGTCCCCTCCATCCTTGCAAGCTGCCAAGGTCCAGTTTGGAAAATTTTGTGTTGCCAAAAGTGCCACCTGGAGCCACCATCAGGGGAGCGGGGTGCTGAGTGGAAGAACTACCCCAGTGCTGTCCTTTCCCATCTCCGAGGGGTTGGTTCATGCCCTTCATCAAGGAAACAGCTTCCATGCCAGGACGGTGTCCCTTAGTCCCTTCATTTTCCAAGCAAGTGTGACTGCCATCCTCCATATTAACGTGGCGTGGCCATGCTCTGCAAGATCGTGGCCAGGCTGCCTGCCTCAGTAATTCCATTGTAGCTGACAAATATATCTGCAAACAAAAAAAGCAGCTGTGGAGAGAGACTTCTATAGCAAGTGTTTGAGGTTTTGCATACCTAGAAATAGCCTAGTGTTCCCGAGAGCGCAAACAGCCTCCTCTCTTCTTACCACCTGCCTGAAAGGCTCGTTAGATTGAGTAATGTCTTCCATGCTCTTTGCGAACGACAATACACTTCATTTCCAGTACGCACCTCTTCGAGGGGGCCCTAATACTTGATAGCTCAGACAGTCTAGTGTCTCAGGCCCATACGAATTCCCAGCGGTCTAGGCCTGCAGTTTAGTTAATGGAACTTGGATAAATTTGGGGCTTCAAACTAAGTCTTCTGTGTGCCATGACTGGATCTGATTGATTCAAGCAGCAGAATCCCGAAGGGCATGTCGAAGGGCAGCACTTGTGTTGCACACTTGGGGAATAAGCCTCAGTATCCAGTCTTCATTTAGTGGTGGTTGGGAAGCAGGGCAGAGGCATTTACTGCTTCCTCACCGCACAGCTTTCCAGTGGGCAGAACCCCCCTGTCGTGGTGTAGCCGACAGCCTCGGAGGTAATGCAAAAGGCAGAACTTCAAGCAAACGGCAGCCCTTGTAATTGCAGGCAAGCTGCAGACCTCGGTAATCACGGAAGTAGCTTCTTGGGCGGGGAATTGCCTGGGAAGATCCCTTCCTGTAATGCGGTGGGTTTTATATTGCTCTTTAAATTCACTAAATGAGTTGACTGAATTTACGCTCCATAACGCACTTTATGACTGTGGCTGGTGGTAATTTCTTCTGGCATCTGCTAAAACCCTGTGATGGAGAATGGCAAGGCCCGGATAATGTTAACATCCTTGGGTTTTTCTTTGCTCGTCTGAACTTAAAAGCAAAAGCTGTGGAAAGTGGGTTCTGTTGATCTGTTCGCCAGGGAGCGGGGAGGAGCTCATGAAAGTTATGGGATAAATAAGACAGTCTCAGACTGGTGATAATTTGCAGTTATTGGTCAGCCTACTCACAATGTTTTCTTTTCTCCTTCTCCACCCCTGCCTCCCCCCCAACCCTCTTGTTGTCCAGTGGATACGCGGCTGATGAAATTACACACTGCATTCGACCACAAGACATCAAGGAGAGGAGGGCCGTTATCATCCTTAGAAAGTAAGTGTGCAAGCGGTTGGCTGACCTGTAAGGGAACAGCAAAGCTGGGCCTAACTATCATTTCACAGCACTTTTAAGGGAGTGCCTTCCAGCACAAAGGCAACGTGCTTCCAAGTTACTTTAGCTGTCCAAATGTTAGCGAGAACATTAACATGGCGTCTGCTTACGATGCTCATTCCATTCTTGTGCTGGGCTTGGCTGGACACTGAAAGCCGACTGATCTCTTCGGCCTCTATGGCTACAAGTGTGGTCAGTTTTCACATTGGCTCTCGTGCCCTGGTACCTTGACGTGAGGTCTGGGGTTTGCAAGCACTGCAGAGGGAACATTTGCATCCATTCATTGGGCTTTCATTACCTGGCTTAATTAAAAAATAAGGAGAATGTTAGGCTTGGGGTCAAATTGAAGGGACTGATCATGTGGTGTCAAGGTACCTGATGCTGGCCCTTCAAGGTGATATTCTCATACAAACTGCTGTAGATAAGTCGCTTTACAAAGTTGATGAGTTCTGGGCTGGGGAGGGAATGACTTTCACTCCTGCTGGGGAAACAAATGCTGATGTTGGAGGCAAGTAGGTATAATGTATTAAACAGCTAGGCCCATAAGCCAATTTGGGGCTTGATTGGTGAGAGGCAGCACCTTGTCGAATCGGTCCTCACTGAAGGCACTGTCTTGAAATGCCTCCAGCTGAAAGGGGACGGGGTATGCATCTTGTGGTTGGTGTCTGGCCTATAGCTTTAAGAGGTCCAGCAGAAACTTTACTTTAATGTCAATCATGCCTGCTGTGTGGCCTGCTCTGGACTCCTGCCTTCAAGGGGAAAGTCGTCGGGGAATTGCTCTGTCAAGAAAAGCCATTCAAAGTGAAAAAGTGACTAATTCCTTGGCATCGAACCTAGAAGGATGCAGGCAGGGGAGGGTAGAGTGGAACGGCTGCAGCCCAGGCAGGAACAAAGCTACAAGACTGGAAATCTAGACACTGACTTCTTTGAGCTTCCAAACAGCTCAGTTGGCTTCAGGGTAACCTGGTGGCATGGACAGCACAGCGCAGTGCTCATTACATCAGCCCAGCAACGAAGTGGAGACTCGGACATCTGGGTAGAGAAATGAGAACGGGAAAGGCCAAAGCCCTGAGGCAACAGCGAGGCAAAAGTAGCTTGCGCAGGGGTGAGGGGCTGAAGGTGTAAAGTCATAGCACATAATGGAAGAGCTTGGGTTTAAATGAAGGGGCAAGAGAATCCAGTGCGCACTGTGGCTCGTAGCGTACCAGAGCCCTTGCCCTTATCCTGGGGACTGGAAGGCTGCTGTGCTGGGGGCACTGGGAATGGCAGCAGCTGTGCTAAAGAAAGGTGAGATGCTGAGCAGTGCTGCCATAGTTGCTTGTCCATTGTGAAATGTTCAGGACCGAGGAGCGCAGGCAGGGGTGGGAGACGTGGGTTGTGGTGTCGGGTCAGTGCCCCGCTAAATAGATCAAAAACAAGTTAAACTGCTGCACATCTCTGATGCAGAGAGCCCGACTGACTGGTTTTATCCCGTTCCTATTTTGGGTCAGTAACTAAACATTGCTTCTGTCGCTGGAGCCTGAGTGATGGGCTCCAAGTCTTTATGTTACTAGTTTAGCTAGTTCCAGTCTACTTAACTAGAGCAGTGCCAGGCCTTGGAGAGCAGGATCTGCCAGCCCTGCCGAGGCTGTTGGCTTAGCCTAGCTCCTAGAAGTTGCCTTGGGCACTGAGTGAAGTTCAGTCCTTACTTGCGCTCTGCATCCATGCAGTCTATGTCTGGACTTTCCACTGTTGGATTGTGATAGTCGTTTTCGGCCAGTGACGGGTAGCAAAGAAACCCGGTTGTATCCTAGCCTGCTCTCTTCCTTGTCTTCATAGCATTGCCCAGCACTGAGCAAAAAGTGCATATCCCAGTTTGCAAAGGCGCATGCTACAGACGCTGCAAGTGGGAGCTTGTTTGAACTTGTGCACGTTCCTTCGACCCTGGACTCCTGTCCCGTTAGGCCTTCAGGGACCTTCATCAAATTTGTATCCTGTCGCACACATTCCTACAGTGAATTGCATCACGTCCTGCATCATGTGACACTTGCAGATTTAAATAGCATGTTATGAAACCAGGAAAATCAGTGCTTCCTTTAGGCAGGCTGCTAGCATTAATGCTGCTGGTTATGTCAAAGGAGGTTTTATGCAGGGTCTGGCTAGGTTATTTTACAGAGATAATGCACCGGGGATTGAGAGGGCCTGTAGGTAGAAGCATGTACATTCAGCCAAGCAGCAAGGTGGCTGGCTACCTTGAAGTCTTTCGGGTTTTTATCCATTTTTGTGCACATTCTGCTTGTGTGACTCTATTGATTGATCTTGCCAGCAGTGATGGGAGAGCAAAACTGCACGTATTGGAGAAATGATCTGGAGTCCGATCAGCTTGGTGGAACATGTGAGAACGGCATGGTTACAAGCCGGGTGTTAACACTTTAGTGCCGTGAAAGCACAATGCTGTTTGCAGTGTTTCCTGTCTGCACCAGAGTGCCGGGCTGCAAGGGCGCCAGCAAAGGCTGGAATTTCTTTTTGTGTGCAAGATCTTAGAAGACGTCGGGCTGTGGGGGTGTGAAATTTCTAAATTAAAAAAAAAATAAAAGCAATCCTCTCCCTGGCTTTCCCTATAACCGTGAACAGCGTTAGTGCAACCTGGTATTATTTTGCTGGGCTTTGAAAGCAGTTTACATGATGGATTTTCTGAGCACGTTGGTAGCAGCATTGGTTATAGAGAGCTTCGGCTTTGAATAACTTGCTGGTGAATGTGTAGCCCATCTCTCCTGCTTCTGTAGCTGAAAACTGAATGGCCGGTTTGTTTCTCTCCTTCCCTGGATGCCGTGACTGGGGCAGTGACCTCGATCAAAGCTTTCATTGACAAAGCTAAGACTTACGCCTCTCAGAGTTTCAGATAGGCACAAATTAGGTTAGAAAGGCAAGTCTATTTCTGTGCCGAAATTCTTTTCTTCTTCTTTTTTTTTTTTTTAACTTTGGGGGTTGCTTCCATCACCCCGTGCCCTCAATGCTGGAGTTCTCCCTTCGCTCTACAGAAGTGCATTATTTAATATAATCTCTTCCTTTCGTGAGTTGGCGTGGTGCTCTGATGGATGGTACGGCACAGTTTTGGTTCTTTATAGTCCCGTTGCCCAGCCTCTGATGCCTGTCAGTTGACTTTAACATTCGCTAATGGGCAGCAAACGGTTTACGTTGTATTTGGCATCTTTATATGTGGTTTTGGGGGTGGCCATCAGACAGCCCAGCGTGGGACCGACTGTCACTTCTGCGTTCGCTGTTCTGCCGGGGACAGATCAGATTTCTGGCCTATGCACAGACAGGACAACGGAGCAGGCAAACTGTTAAAATAATACCGGCTTTAAACTCTTCCTTCCTCTTCGCAGCGCGCTAGGCAAACCTTGTGTACAAAAACGTGCCTGTAGACAGATTCGTGTGTCGATACACAGGACCCGCAGCGGAGAGAACGAGCTGGTGAGGGACAAGTATAGATGGTTGCTCAGCAACTGCAAACGGCTCTTGCCCGGGGTTTGGAAGGCTCCTAGGCTTTCCTGCACTCTATGGAAACCAGGTTGGAAAGCTGGAGTTCAAGAGCGGAGCAGAAGCACATTCTCTGTCTCTTCGAACCCAAACTCGTACGTGCCGATGACGGCACGCGAACAGATGCTGTTTGAGGGAGGCAGAGACCGCAGAAATAACACGGAGGAACAAGAGGGTTCTGGAGGGTGCACGGAGCATCTCGCCCACGTACGCTGTTCTGCAGTGCCTTTTTCTTTGTCCTGGATCTTGGCCTTGTTTAAACTGCTTCAGATATCGTTGAAGCCAAAGACTCGTGTCTAAGCATATTACCACTGTGTGGTTGTAACCAGGCTAAGCTCAGATGGCTCTTTCCTTCCCATGCTGTCCACACAAGCTGCCAGGTACAGCGGCGTCTGGGTAAACAGTGCTATTCTGTCTGTGGTAGCAAGCCTGTTTGCCAGCACGGGTCCCGGTTTAAGCACGCACAGGTTCTCTCTGATCGTAACTGAGAGAACGTGTCGCAACTGCTGCTTTTGAATGGAATTTCCCATCTTTCCGATCTCCACCTGACTCTCTTGTGCAATCCTCTGAGTTTTGAAGCAAAGCTTTGCAACCCTAGTTGTGCTGCCCTGGCCTTAGCAGCGGCTCTCGATTTAGGTAGGCAGAATATGACAGTGAAGCTAGTCATTGCTCTGTGTACCAGAGCAGGGGAATTCTGCTGCATCACTCCTAGATACTTTGTTCAGCAACTTAAAACCCTGGATAATCATTAACTCTCACACTTACTGACCTGTGTTAACTTGGCTGTTTCGGTTTCATGTGCTAGATTTCCTGGCAGATCTTTAGTCCAGGAAGCTGATTTTCAAGGCAGGTTCTTGCCTTGTTTATAGCGAGCTTGGCTTTCTTGGTGTAGTGGTGGGTGCGAGCTGTGTGGTTTGAATTTGGGTTTCATATTGGTTGAAATAGGTAGAATAACTCACTGAGATCTTAGCATTTTCCCACAGACTCTTTGAAAACACTTGTCTTTTAAATGTTCACAGAACAAGACTAGATGCTCCTCGATTGGAAACAAAATCGCTGAGTAGCTCTGTGTTGACAGCAGGTTACACCTCTGACCGACTGTCAGGAAGCAACAGGGACCAGATCCTGAAACCAAAGCGGTCCCATCGGAAAGCAGATCCTGATGCTGCTCACCGGTAAGTCCAGCTCCCTTGTGAAAACAGCCATCTGGGTGGGGTGCTCGTGGCATTGTGGTGTCGCAAAGCTTCTTGGTGTTCGCATCGTCTTGGCACGTGCTGTTTATCAGCAGAGTGGGAATCGCCACTTTTAGAATGGCCCGTTTCTTACCCGTTAGTTAAGCCAGAAGGCATCACCGCTGCTATAGCGGTGCTGTGTAACACGTCCTCCTGCTTGCGTTCTTGCCCAGTATATTTCTGCATACGCTTCCTGCTCACGTTTCCTACGGTTCCCACCTCGGCGTTCTCTACAGGCACGTACAGACTTTAGTGGAAGGCAGATCTAAATCATCAGAACTGGTCTGAAGCCTAACTTGGATACCAGGGAAGCTAAGCTTTGATTTGTAAGCAGCTTGCATCTTTATTGCCAACGGAGAAGCCATAGGCTTGCCTCATTTGATGCAGTAATTCAGAACGCTGATTTTTCCGGTAGCTAATTATTTCTGACCTCTCTTGCCAAGCAACGTTCACAGCTGTTGCAGATGATGAAGTGGCGCTTTTACCAAAAGAATGAAAGGTGTCGCCACAAAGGAAGAGAGGGGCTCTTGGGTGGGATGATTCTTAGACCTGCCTTCCTTGTGTCTTCTTGGTGAGCTGTTTACTGGCATTGGGTGCCAAGAAGGGCATGGATGTCAGCTCCTTGGAAGCTGTTCGGTGGGTCTGGCAGCTCCAAGAGCGTGGGCACTTGTAATGGGTGTAGTTCAGTGCACACAGCAACGTGAGGGTTCTCCTGCGAGTGCACACTCAGGAGAGTTTCTAGCCAGGGTTTATATTTCCGTGGTAGGAGAAATTGGTGGTGGTGCAGAATCGGGGTAGCTCACCGATAGTTATGCACTGTAAGGCCTGATCGCTCTTCCCAGTTCCCAGAGGTGTCTCTGGGGCTTGGTGAGGATTAGGACAGAGGCTTTTCTGGACATCACGCACACATCCAAAGGTTGGCTCAGCTTTGCAGCTTGACTGTGATACAGCTGCAGGCAGTCTTGGGAGGGCTGGGCTTGTTTGAGTCACGTCAGACTGTGTGGGCACGAACTGAGAAGCGGAGCCAGTTGGGAGGCAGTGTTAGGCTTGTGAGCGTTGTGTTCCCTCAGCGCGAGGTGAATGATGTGGATTCTCCACCGGTGCCCTTCACAGCAGGGATCTTCCTTCGCAGTGGTAATGTATGGTACCATGAGCTGCATGCAGGAAGGGAAAGCCCAGCAGCTGCCCAGTTGCGGTGCTTTCTGTCCAGTCTAAAAGCTTTACTGCAGCCCAGACAGCAGTGAGGATGTGTGAAATATGAAGACTCTTGTGATGTAGAGGGAAGGAATGTGCGTTGCCACAGCAAATCCTCCCCAACACTCGTGCTGGACGTCTAAATTCAGTCTGCTTCCGCTGTGTGGGTCTTCCTGGGACGGCTGGGATAGTGCATTGTGGGAACCAAGGGGAGAATCCGAGTCCATTTGGGGTCAATTTAGTCAAAGTAAGTAGGATTTTGTAGAGGGATTTTTTTTTAACTATTTAAATGCAGCCATTTCTGGAATATCAATTTAATCCGAAGTTTGCTCTTGTTCTCGTTAGGCCCCGGATTTTAGAAATGGATAAAGAAGAGAACAGGCGCTCGGTCCTCTTACCAAAACACAGGAGACGAAGCAACTTCAGCTCAGAGAACTATTGGCGAAGGTCTTACGAGTACACAGAGGACTATGACGAGGAGGAGGAGGATGGAAGTCCAGCCAGGAAGGTTAAAATGAGGCGACATTGAGGAATGGGCTTCTGAGGGTCCCGGAGCTGGAGAGAACGGCCTCTGATCTGTGAAAACTTTCCCCCTCCAGCTATTTTCCATCTAGCTTCAGTTTTTGGTTTTGTTCTTTCCTTTCAGCTGACGAGTCCTTGGAAAGGATCTGGCTGGCTGCGTTATGAATGGAGTAAAACTGAGGCACGCGTAGCACTGGGACGTGTCTGGTGCCACCCACGGTTTCCTGAGTAGTGGGTCAAACACAGCTGCTTTCCCTCCCGAAGCAGTGAATGTCAGAGCTGGGCCGGGCTGGCTGTTGGCATTTTTTATTTTCCCCCAAACACCAAAAAAGTGAGAGGTTTCCTTTCTGGAAAGTCACAAAATGTTGGGTTTCTTTTTCCTTTTGCTTTAATTTGTGTTTTTGTTTCTTTTCACATGTTCTAAATCTGCTGTTTGACCCCAAGAATTGAAACTCTGTCGTGGCCTCCTACTCCATGCTACACCAAAGGGCTCCTCGGTCTGCTATTATATAGTGAGGGTTTTTTTCTTTTTTTCCTTTTTGTTAAGGGTGCCCTGCAGTAACTGGAAATTCACAGCTTTGCAGACACCTCTCACTGCATCCGGTTACAAAGCGTTTAGGACATTTGTTGCACTTTAGTAACAGTTTTTAAATGCCATATACTCCCCTTCCAGCCCCTATCCTCCAGCTCGCTTGGCCTTGCCGGCATCCTGTCTTCTGCGCTGCTAACTAAAAGGTATGTTTTCTCTGTGAAGAGCAGCCATAAACTCGTGCCCACAGAAAGGCTGGTTCTGAGGGCTCATCACAGAGAGAAGAGAGCCTTTAGGAACTGAAGTAATTGTCTGCTAGACCTTTGTCTGTAACTGCATATGTGCAGGTTTCCTTTCCAGAGGTGTGTTGTTTGGATCCTAAACGTAGTGTCCTACTTGGCTTTGAGGCCTGTCGTGCCAGGGTACTGGGATCTGTATCGGAGCCCCTGGGACTTTGAGTATGAAGATGACACGTGTGTATGTGCGTGTGTGTGTTGGGTACATGCTTTCCCCTTTTCCAAGCGAGAGACTAGCCAGAACGATCTGTAGGGGTAACGTTGCACTGTGAGGGGGCCTGACCGGGGAGCATGGTAGGATGTGCTCGCTCTGTGCAGGCAGGAGCTTGCCCTCCCGGGTCCTCACCCACTCGATCCAAGACGGCGTTCTCTCCCGAGTGCCTCGTTTGAGGGGACACCCCAGAGCTTTGCAACAGCCCGAGGAATCTGCTGGACTTCACCGCAGAGGTGTACTCCATGATATTGCCCCAGTAAAGCTAGCAGTCCTGTTTTTGCTTCGGTGTTTGCAGTTGGCTTGGTGGGGGAAGGTCGGGGGTCTCTAAACCTGCTTAGTTCTGCCGCTCGGCTTTCCCCAGCAAACACGGGAACTGCTGGACGATGCCTGTATTCTGCTCATTCGAATGTCAGCATGAATTCCTGGTGCAGAAAGCTCTGTGGCTTGAAAAACATTACTGAAGAGATCATCTTTGTGGCACGCGGGAGTTGAGGTTAGAATATCAGAAGTCCCTCCATGCATCCTGCTTGTCTTTGCACCCACATGGCTGCATTATCCTGGCGTAGAGCCTCCTTGTAATAACACATTTAGAAACCTGACTTTAACAAACAGGGGGTGGAAAGAAACCCTCTCTGAATTCAGTATCTTGAAGCCAGGTATCAACAGCTGCAAGGAGTGGTCTTTTTTTAAGTTGTCTTAAAAACTCTTTAAAAATTGCAGCTCTCTTTGGTTGTGTGTTCAGTGCTCTCTTCTGCTCCGCGCACTTCGCGGGAAAAGGATTGAACACATTTTGAGTACAGCCTGATGCTCTCATTGAGGGGTTTTCAGCCCACCAGGCCTTGTTCCTTCATGTGCTGTTAGAAATCTAGCATGCTTGCCCGCCTCTTAGTTTCTATGCATGCCTTTTTCTTCTCCTGGCCCCTAGTGATGGTCCTGTTGCAAACATAACTTCAGGAGAACTTTTATCCGCATGAGACTTGAGCCCTTTGGGGGTTGTCTGTCATCCTTCAACCTGGTGTTTGGATTACATTTCTGCCGCAGACCTCCAACTCGCTTTCCTCAAAGATGAGAGGAGCCCGTTGCTTGGCCATCAAGAGAGCCCCACCGCTTCTGCCCTGTCATGGAAGTTCATACTTCTGGTTGCCTTCAGGATGTCAACTGCATTTGAAAATTGAGGCTTGTCTTTAAAGCTGGCATTTCTCTGCCCTTTCGCTTGTTGGCTTTGTCAGCAGGCCAACTCCAAGCCATCCTCACACTCAGCAGGGGAGTGCTTTCTTTGGGGACATTGGGTTTTTCTGAGTGTTTGAAACCAGGCCGTATACTGGATCCGTAGCGTTACCATTTATGGCAGACACCCTAAACATCAGCCCCTCTACAAGATGGTGGCTGGTCGTGGGAGGCTTAAGAGTGCCTGTTTTTTATGAACTAGGCGGTTTTTGGATTTGCATTTTAAAAGCCCCATCCACTTCTAAGGGGCTGTGCTGAGCCCCTCTTGCTATACAATAGCTCAGTGTTTCTGCTTAAACATAGTTCTGGCTGGATGAATAGAAACCGTAGTAATCTGTGCTTCTCTTTCCTCCTGTTACATGCAGTGGATCCTTCTACCCATGCTGCTTCAAGCCTGCCCCTGCAGTCTGGCTCTCCATCTTCAAATGAAGTTGGTTTCGGTTTTGCCTCGGAGGTGACAATTTGGTAATACTCACTGATGGGGCCACTAATAGAGCACGGTTTGCCGTGTTACCTAGAGTGGAATGAGGTATTGGATTTTTCTCGGGAAAGGAGCGGTAGGCCTACTAATGTCTCATGCGTCAAGGTCTTTCCTCTAGCAAGGTATAACAACATCTCGTTCCATCCCCATGAATGCAGCAGGTACATTCATTGGGTTTATTTTGTATTCCTCCGTGCAACCTTATTTCTGCTTCTCCATCTTCACGCTTCATTTAGTTCTACAGCTTTTGAGCGAGCAGCAGTGCCCCTTGGGGTTAGCCTCAAATCTCTGTTTTTTTTCTTTGGTTGCAACATTGATGTGTCGGCCAAATCGGGGCATGACTAGTTTTGACTCCTGATGCTGTCTGTGGGCTGAAGTCGCCCCGTGTGTCTGCAGGCCATCCTCCCCAGGTAGACAGATATTTTATACAGACCCACGTATGTAAATGTATAGATGCACATTCTTAAATCTTTTGTACTGATCCACATCCAAAAGAAACCTTCGTTCGGACACTGAGCTTGGTGTGAAGACATAGATTCTCAGTGTCAAATGACAGGAGACTCCCTAATATGACAACAGCTCAGGAAATTCATCCCACCCACATCTTGCTTTGGTAGTTGTATGTCTGCTCTGTGAGGCCACTTGCAAGTTCCAGGTCAAACTTTCAGGGCACTGCCCTGATATGGAAAACTTCCAGAACCCAAGCAATTCGCTTTTAATTAGGGATCACCCATGCTCCAGCTGCCTGCCTGCTCCAAGTGGTAAAAAGCTGGAAGTGGGGTTGTGACCACCTGTGCAACGTGAAAGAGAGCTGGTGACTTAGCAAAGCCTCAGTCACAGGCTTGACCCACTTGGTTTTAATCGTCTTTCCTGAGAGCGCACCATAATGCAGCCAGGATTGCCCTCTAACCCAGAAGCGTGTAGTACGTGTGACCTGTCCAGCAGCCGGCACCCTAAATCAAAGGCACTGTCAAATTACCAAAAAAAAAAAAAAATCCCAAAGGCCACGGCAGTATTTTTCTTCACTAAGGAAGGGAGATGCTTTCTGCTTCTTTGCAGATAAACAATGGGTGGGAATTTCATACTTCTGCTGTTATCCTTGGGTTGCATGTAGGTGAAAGGAGTCTAAAAAACCCTGTTGCATGAGCCTGGTGAGTCCAGAAAAAAGCGGCTGTTGGCCGGTCCCTGAGAAGGAGAGTGGTGTTATAGGGATGCTTTTTTGAGACTCCTTCTAAGGTCGTCTTTGCTTTGATGGTGCCAGATGCTCGGAGAGCACTTTGTATTAACAGGATCTAGGCGAGTGAGACGTATCCGCAGCAAGGTCATAGCTGCCACATCTGACTTTTCCCACCTGCGAAGTTCTAGTCCAGCCGGTGCAAGTCACTGAGTCACGAGATGCATGAGCTGTAATCCAAAGGCTTGGTTCATCTTTGAAGGTTGGGCTGCCTAACCAGCTTTTGAAGGTTGACCTATATTTTGGCAAGCAATGCACACGCCTCTGAGTTCCCCGTGCCAGGAGCTTCTGCTGGGACACAGGGTGACAGACACATGCACAGGCACAAGCTGACTATTTTTTTTTCTTTCCATTTTTGGTTTTGAATCTCATACAAAGCATCTTCCA